ACACCACTAAACCACCCTCACTAATGTCATGACCAGCCCAAAGTTTGCCTTCGGACAAAAGTTTTTGGGTAACATTGAAAGCTTGTACCAAAACCTCACTTTCTTTGAGATTGGGACATTCACTGCCTTGTTGGCTAAAGACTTGAGCCAATGCACTGCCACCCAAACGGAATTTATTTCAATATTCACCCAAATCAAAGAGGTTTCCAAGCCATTCAAAGGACCCTTAAGATCAGGGGTGATTTTAACATTTACATCTGGACAAGGGGCATAAGTAGATATAACCAAAGTGCCGGGAGATTTAATAGTCTTGCCACCAACTTTAGCTGCCATGGACAAAGAATCTTTGCCACCATCTACAGCAATTCTAAGCTCCTTCATGATTTGACACATTTCCACACAGGCATCATACATACGAGCGCCCTCGCCTGGCAACTTAGCAGCCCACATCCAATTGCCGGAACACTTAACATCAGCCAATTCGCTGATCTTAACAAACACCAAATTGGATAAAGCCTCAGCCACACTCATGCGAGCCATGGCACCCGCATCCAAAAGACCCTTAATAGGTTGTGTGCCTATAGAAGTGGCAATACCTTCAGTGCTAAATGAGACACCGTAACCAAACCAAAATCAGCCAATGGTGTATGCAAGGGACCCACACATGTTGTTGAGCTATTAAACCGGTAACACAACGATCGACCTTGTTGGTTAAATAACGTTTGCTGCCCACTGAAACCAAGCTTAGTACCTGTTCCAAGCTCTTGCTATAATCGAAATTACTTTCGAATTGCAAAGGCAATAGATTATGTTCAACGTTGCAACTGATATTCACGCTTGGGCATTTCACCTAAAACATGTTTCAATTCCAAATCAAAAGGTACTGGCCCCATAGCGGTGGCCTCATTGTTAGCACTTAAAGCCTTTTCAAAATCGGCCTCACTTTCAACTAAAGTAACACGACCATCTCCCGTTACCACACCCACAAAACTAATGGGACAACGTTCTCTTTCACAAATTCTCTCCAATAAGGCACGATCTTCAGGTTTGCAGAGTATAGCATCGTTTTCTTGATACTCAGCTCCCCATAATTCCAAAGCATTAATAGTGGGATCACCCAATTGGAATTCCTTGGAGAAAATAATAGCACCAGCAAAGCCAGGCTCAACCAATTCTTTTAAAACATTACCATTACCACCAGCACCCTGTAAAAATTAAAAAAAAGGTTATTTTCAAATTAATAACAAATTATATGCATCTAAACTTACTTGATCATGTATGGCCAGTATGGGATTTTTATCTCCCATTTCTATGCAAGCTCTGACCACACGATTCAATTTATTTTCCATTTCAGCGTCGCCACGTTGCACAGCATTGAAATCTAAAGAAGAATCATTGGAGCCTTGTACCTCCACAGAACTGGCAGCACCACCGCCCACACCGATACGATAAACTGGACCACCGATTTTAGCCAGTAAATTGCCTAGAATTAAATTAAATTTGAAAATTTCATCAAAAATATATCACAGAGTTCTCCTTTTCTTTGCCCCAATTTCAAAACTTACCTCTTTTAGGATCAATTTTCTGACGCATACTAGATTCCATAGTACCCATACCACCACTGAACATAATAGGTTTAACATATTCATCACGTTCGCCCTGAGCATTAGTCAAACCATATGAATTAACGAAACCGGTAATAACGGGTTCACCAAATTTGTTGCCATAATCCGAAGCACCATTACTAGCTTCAATAAGAACCTTCAAGGCTTAGCGAAGGATGAGGGATATTCATAGTTGGCATTTTCATAGGTTCTAGGAAAACCTGAATAAAATAAGAAGATATTAAAATTTGTCTAAAGTTAAAATATTAAGCACTTACCAGGTATATTCAAAGAACCCACACAATAACCAGCTGTACCGGCAATGGGTATACCACCACGTCCCACACCTTGAACATCTCTATAAAATTGTATCAAAATTATTAATTAAATTTCGATTTCATAGTTTAAACTTGTTTCCTACCTCAAACGTCCACCTGTACCAGTGGTAGCACCACTGAAAGGAGCCACAGCTGTAGGCATATTATGAGTTTCGGCAGTATAAATTAAATCTGAATTCACAGTTTGCAATGAAACCATACCAGGACCGTCGAATACCTGAGGTCTAATGGTGACATGCTTAAAACCACGAATGGCACTACTGTTATCACTAAATTTAATAGTGTTATTGTCATTGGTATTCTTTTGTGTATCCATAATCATGCGTATCAAAGATTGAGGCTGTTCGACACCATCCACAATCATTTTGCCACGGAAGAACCAATGTCTAGAATGCTCACTGTTACTCTGAGCACAATCAAACAATTCCACGGTGGTGGGATTACGTTTGAGTACATTCTTAAAAAGATTTGTATAATAATCCAAATCCCAGTCACCAAAAGCTAGACCAAGTTTGGTGTTAACTTCTTCTAAGGCCTTGCGACCTTCTTCCAAAACTGGCACTTTATACCAGGACTCTTGAGATTGTGGTAATTGTTCGTTGAAACTATTGACGGGTAAATTTTCCTTAGTATAAGGACATTCAGTCATACGATCACTGAGCAAATCAACTAGTTGTTCAAGGTTAGGTTTCTCGTTCGAATAGCCAATGAGATAACGATCAGAGGCTTCTACACGGGTGACTTGGGTGAGACCCACATTTTGGCAAATATTAACACAGTTGGTAGAAAAGGCGGTGGAGAAATTGAAACGTGGTCCAATCTCTACTAAGAAGAGTTCTGCCTTTTCAGCGGATAATGTAGTTTTCTCATACAAACTGCTTTCATCGCCTTGTGGATGTTTGAGCAACCATTTCAATAAACTCTTAGCTTTAGGTTCGATGGCTGTAGTTGTCTCAACGTGATAACATTTTTCCACTTGCAGCGAGACAATGTTGGGAAATGCCTAAAAAATATGATTAAAATTTCAATACAATAAGAGTATTAAACTTGGAAATTTTTCACTTCAAAAATACATTAAAAGATTTAATTGAAAGATTAAACACTCAACATAAAGGAATCTCATTTACAAAGAAAAAGCAATATCTCTATCTATCTATCTATCTATCTATCTATCTATCTATCTACCTATCTATCTATCTATCTATCTATCTATCTATCTATCTATCTATCTATCTATCTATCTATCCATCTATCTATCTATCTATCTATCTATCTATCTATCTATCTATCTATCTATCTATCTATCTATCTATCTATCTATCTATCTATCTATCTATCTATCTATCTATCTATCTATCTATCTATCTATCTATCTATCTATCTATCTATCTCTATCTATCTATCTATCTATCTATCTATCTATCTATCTATCTATCTATCTATCTATCTATCTATCTATCTATCTATCTATCTATCTATCTATCTACTATCTATCTATCTATCTATCTATCTATCTATCTCTATCTATCTATCTATCTATCTATCTATCTATCTATCTATCTATCTATCTATCTATCTACTATCTATCTATCTATCTATCTATCTATCTATCTATCTATCTATCTATCTATCTATCTATCTATCTATCTATCTATCTATCTATCTATCTATCTATCTACTATCTATCTATCTATCTCTATCTATCTATCTATCTATCTATCTATCTATCTATCTATCTATCTATCTATCTATCTATCTATCTATCTACTATCTATCTATCTATCTATCTATCTATCTATCTATCTATCTATCTCTATCTATCTATCTATCTATCTATCTATCTATCTATCTATCTATCTGTCTATCTATCTATCTATCTATCTATCTATCTATCTATCTATCTATCTATCTATCTATCTATCTATCAATCTATCTATCTATCTATCTATCTATCTATCTATCTATCTATCTATCTATCTATCTATCTATCTATCTATCTATATATCCTTAAATACAACCATACTCACATTTTTTAATTGTTTCAACACCTTTACACGATGAGCTTCTTCCCAAGCTTCATTTGAATAAAAACGTAAAATAGCCATGATTTTAAATCGAGTAAATTACACGCACTAACGATCCAAATCAATGAAAACTGAAAATTCAAATGATTAAAATTACTGAAAGACGATCACCAGTTGAAATTATGAGATCAATAACAACATGTCTCAACACTCACACACAACAACAACACTTACAGGTTTCTATAATTGTTGTTTTCTTTTGATATTTTTATAAATTTCCTCTGCTTGGGGGGTTATCACTTAACAAAGGCAAATCAACCTTATTACAGACGTATAGAAAATGTTTTTAGGGGCAGGAAGGACAAGCGAGGTATTAAAACCAAACTGATTTTGCTGTAAATATACTCTGTTTATACACCAGCAATCACCAACAGCACTGTATCAAAAAATAATTGATAAGAAAAAAAGCACATTATTTTTTTAAATTTCATTAATTTCTAATCAATAACAATTATTTTCATTATTTGTACGTATTTTTTATTAAAAAATCTTTAAAGTTGATGCAATTTTTTATTATTATATTGTAATATACATTATTTAATTTTATATTATTTAATTAATTTTTTTATTTAATTCCTACGCACAATTTGAACTTGTTCCTCGATAACTTGCCTACACGTGTCTGCGAATAGTATTCCAGCCGCACATTTGCTTAGTGTGTTAATTTAGTGAATGGTTAATAACAGACTGTTCAGTCTGTGTTTACACTGTTAATAGCTCTCATTGTATGTTAACATGCCGGTGATATAGTGTTAGTCAAGGCAGATCTAAAAAGGTGAAGTCATTTCAACATCTGTTTATTTAATTCGGTGTAAAAAATTTCTTTTAAAACTGACACAGCTATTGTTTCTGTTTTTTCCAGAATAAGAAAAAAGTAATATTTTAATGGGTTGTTCGGAACTTTACTTATGGGTATAACCGTTTTTTTTTGGACCGATTTTTCTCAATTTAAATAGCGATTTTCTCGAAAGCACTTCTGATAGAATTAATTAAGATTCAGATATCGTAGATATGTATACTACAACTCTAAATATTAAAATTTTTCCACCTAATTGGGATTTTATTATTATTTTTATTAGTAATCCGTAATGATTCATTTGGCTGAGGAGCCTATTTGTTTAAGTATATAATTTTTTTATTGTTAAATTAAGTTTATTTTTTTACTAAATTTGTTAATTTTTATTCAGATGGCCCTTAGGGCCAATCTTTAGGTGAAAGATTAGCGATTAAATTAAAATTAATCCTCGAAAGATGTTTTTGAGTACTCAATTAGTTAATTTTGTTTGCAAGTTTAAGCGCCCAATGGAGGTGGTTTAATCTTAAGCACGAAATGCAAAAGTGTAAAAAGCTGATGCAAAAAAATTAATAAATTTTTTATAAATATAAACAAAGTATAAATAAGAAATGAAACTGTTGTCAAAAGTACCTAAGTCTACTGTCATCCGGTACCTAACTCTAAGAATGTATTAGTAGAATTCTCAAGTCAACATAGTTGCAAAAAATCGTATTGAAAAATATTGAAAAAAAAATATTACATTTCAATTTATACTTTGAAAGGTTTCTTAAGATATTTTCCACATATTTTATCTACAAACATTTTATAAACACGTCTATTTGTTTTTTAATCTATAATATTGAAAAAATAAATTATTTATTTGAAATATCTTTTTCGTTTACCATACGAAAATTTACAACATTGTTTTTTTTTAGTTTTAATTTCAACCAACAAAAATTCAATGTCAAAAATTAAAAAATATTTTTTTTCGTTTGTAAAAAATATATTATTTTCGGGCTATTAAATGTGTTTAAATTGTGTAAAAAAATTATAAAATATAATGTTAAGTGATACAAAATATTTCAAAGTGCTATTATCCTCAAATTTTCGCGAAAAAGTTTTGAAGTTTGGAGAGAGAATAAAATTTTTACATATGTGTTGGATTTACACAGCACTCGTCTGTGAGAAGAGCGTAATGTTATTGTTGTAAAAAAATGACAGCGTTTCACTTCTTGTTTATTCTTTGAATATAAACATTAAAATGTTCTATTTATTGATTAGTATAAATTATGGACACTTCAAAATACATTTTTTTCTTTTTGTTTTTAATTTAAGTTTTCATTAATTTTCATATTAAATTTACAATTGTCTTCTTCTTTTTTATAAAATATGCATTGTTTTGATAACAAACAGTGACATTTTCTGTTGTTTTGTATGGCAACACTGCGAAGTTTAATCTTGTAGTCAAAAACTTCAAAGGGGATTAACATAAGATTAAATTTATTTTTAGATTAACTAATCTGATTATTAATTGGCATTTGATTACCATCTCAAAAACTCGCTCTATAACGTGTAATATATAATTATTGGCCTAGGAAGGCTTTTTATATTACTTATAATAAATAAATAAATTTAACCCCTTTTAGCATTTTCTTTCATTTTGAATAATTCAAAAATTTTACGTCTGTGATTTTTTTTAATATATTTCTGTATTTAGACAGTCTAAATAAAGAAATCCATATAGGTTTTATATCATGAGCAAAATCGTTGTAAACAAGTGTGACTCTAAACGGCTGCGATTTTCATAATATTTGAACCAGGTGTAGCAAACTTAATTTAAACTTCTTTGGTGTAAACATTTTTTCTTGCTCTCATTATCTATCCATTTAGAAAACTATTTTTTTGTTGAAATCGCTTAAAAGTTATTTATCATTATAATAAATACTAACATTAAAAATTGATTTTTTTAAATATAATTATATTCAACTACATACATATATTTTCTGCATTTAAAGGGTTAACACTATGTTATAAGCACCAAATGAAAGCTAATTATGTTTTCTATATAATACTTAGGAAATGTATATGTGCTTATATCGGCCACTTTTCGAATTATGGGCACTTTTACAAAAAAGCCATGTTTCAAAATCGTTTTTTTAGCTTTTGGCAATCAATGGGTAAATAATTCATATAACGTCATCTGAAAAGCCTTCCCACGACCTTTCATATCATGTTATTTTTTTTACAATCGGACAAGCCATTCCCGAGATATTTAACTTTATATATACAGTATCGTTAGATTCCGTATTAAAAGTACTATCGATGGAAAAAAATTAAAATATTTGGGGCCGTTTAGAATCGTTAAGGAGTTCCCTAGTGTTGTTTGTTATATTCTAACCTAATTTACCGAGCAGGGTGACGATGAACATACGCCCGTTGTAATGAAGCCGACCAGATAGTTTCTTGTTAGGTCACAACCCTCAGGCACCATTTTAGGATTCTTATTTATTTTCTAATTATATATGTATTTCAGACTTATTTTCTATTTTTTAGGTATATACAGCTCTGCATTGTAATATTTTCTTGTAGCATGCAATATTTTATGTATCGTATTAGTACATATCAACATACATGTGTTTTGTTTAGATGTCATATATGTATGTATGGATATATAATTATACATATATATATATATATATATATATATATATATATATATATATATATATATATATATATATCTATGTACATACATATACATATGTACATACATATTTTCAAGATCAAAATTTATTGTCATTATAATGACAAGACTAGCGAGTCACATTTATATGTACATACAAACACACATACACGTTGATTAGAAATGCAAAAAACAACAAAAACTATGTGTAAATAAACAAAAAAAAATAGTTGATGACGTTTCAAATAGACTGTAAACAAAGAGTGAATAAACAAAAACATGTTCTAAATATTATTCACAAACACGACTATTTACCTTTTATGAGAAAAAATACAAAGAATTTAGTTTCTAGGCAGAAAGAATTTCAAGAATAAATGTATTCATACACATGATAGCGCCTTCCCACTTATGAAAACTCAAGTGATTTTGATTGAAATACCTAATAGTGATACGAATTTTGAATACACTTCTCAACCTGAGATAGGGGGACAATCGTTCGATATTATTATTATCATGACTTAGGTTGATAACCTTTGAGGTTGATAGATAGAGATAGATAGATAGATAGATAGATAGATAGATAGATAGATAGATAGATAGATAGATAGATAGATAGATAGATAGATAGATAGATAGATAGATAGATAGATAGATAGATAGATAGATAGAAAGATAGATAGATAGATAGATAGATAGATAGATAGATAGATAGATAGATAGATAGATAGATAGATAGATAGATAGATAGATAGATAGATAGATAGATAGATAGATATATAGATAGATAGATAGATAGATAGATAGATAGATAGATAGATAGATAGATAGATAGATAGATAGATAGATAGATAGATAGATAGATAGATAGATAGATAGATAGATAGATAGATAGATAGATAGATAGATAGATAGATAGATAGATAGATAGATAGATAGATAGATAGATAGATAGATAGATAGATAGATAGATAGATAGATAGATAGATAGATAGATAGATAGATAGATAGATAGATAGATAGATAGATAGATAGATAGATTAGATAGATAGATAGATAGATAGATAGATAGATAGATAGATAGATACTTTATTACAAATCACAGTTTGCTCACTGCCAGGAGTAGGCTTTACATGGGTCCCTTTGTATTGACTGTAAAGAAATGTAATAAAGAGAAAGAAAGGTTAAGATGAAGGATTGTGGAGATAGTCCATACGAAGGTATTTGTGGTAGTTTCCAAGCAATAAACTAATGACAAATTGCTGAATTCGTAACTACACATGATTTGCATTAATTAAATAATCCACTGCTCTGAAGCAGTGTAAATTTTTAACGCAAATATTTCTTTAGAAAATGAAAATACAATTTAAATTGTGAATACGTATGTATGTACAATGTACGTAATATTTAAAATATGTATGTATATATAATAGGTATATACATATGTACATAAGTATATCTTATCATGTGCAATTTTATATTTTCGTACCCCTTATCTGTACATTATATAGATTCAGTAAAGTATAAGGTTCAAAAATTTTTTTCGCTAGACAACTGACGACAAATGTGTAAATAAGTATTTATTAAAAAACAACAATAAATTGTTAATAACGCTGAAGTGCATTCTTTGTTTTAAACATTTTGTTAAAATGTTTGGGGTATTTGAACGATGATGCAACATCTGCGCATAAAGTGAAAATATATATGATAGACACTTGCTATTATCAATTCTAATTTAAAACAGATAAACTTTTTTTGAATGGCTAAAATTAGTGTCCAATAGAAAAATTGCGAAACAAAAATGTTTTGCGTATCTCTTTTTTTCAAATTTTACAATTAAGTTTTCTTTTTGTTATAAAATAACTGAAAATTACGCTGTTGATAAATATTTTATATACGTTTCTAGTATTTAAAACAAAATTGTTTAAAATTAAAACATTTATTTAAAATTTTCTATTAAATGATTGTTTTAAAATGTAATAAAAGATAACATTTTGGCACTAACTTTGAATGATTTTGTATTTTTAACAATTAAAGTTTTATAAATATTGGTGGTAAAAATTTAATTTGCAATCGTTTTTGTTAAAAAATTGTTTCAAACTCTTTAATTTGAAAAGATTTTTTTCCATAGTAATGAGGTGTTTAAAATTTGGCACTGCCCACTCATATTTGCTATATCATTCTAACTTGCTTTAATTTGTTATTGGACTTTGATCCATACTACTATTCGTCATTAAACAAAATGTGCAAAAAACGGTACAAAATAAAATTTTAAAACATTTTGCTGAATATTAATTGTTTCTTTAGATAAAAGCACACAACTGACGTTGGCAGCACAATCCCAATTCAATTGAAATTGCTTAGAAAATCATGCTGAAGCCTAAATGCTTAAAACAATTTGATTTAAATAAGTTTTAAATGATAGAAGCAGGACGGGGTGGGGGTGCTGTTTTCTATACACGTGCTATACTTTGTTTATATTGTAATTTGTAATTACAAAAACATTTGCAATAAAAACATCTTGGTAATGAGTGAACATTTGTTTTTTTTTTTTTGTATAAGTCCTTGGGAAAAAAATAATTTCAAAATTTCCTCGAATTAAAATATATAGAATTTTATTTATTCAATTATTTCTTTGTTTTTTCATAATAATAAATTATTAAAATTATACTACTACTTCAAATCATACATAATTATTTATTAACTACACTAACTTGTTTTGTAAAGGTAGTTTTTAAGGTTTTACATAGAATATTTTAATTTTTTTACTTTCTTAGCAAAATTGTAAATTATTTGTAAGTTTTTTACTATAATTTTTTGAACTGTTTTTTTTTTACTTTGTGTAATACAATAATATTAGTTGATGATAATGATGAAATGACTAATATTAAATAAAACTAAATTACTAATATAATCAAGTCTCTAAAGGGGTAATTGAAATAGGAATCTTTTATTACAATTGTTTTGATTTCTATATGCAATTGCAGGTTAAACAGAAAAAGAATAATGCCAATATTTTGTATAGATTTTTTTTGATAAACAAAATATATATTTTTGTTACAAAATTTACACTCCATCTGATAGGTATAATGAAAAACATTTATACAATTGCAGTTTAAACAAAAGAAAATCACTCGAAAATAGAATAGTTTAGCATAGTGGAAAAACGTAACAGGAACTGGCACCACATGACCAAAACATTAGCTGTTTTCTGTTGTAGTAGTTATTGTTAAAAAGTGAAAAGCACAACTTTCTTTTGTCTTATTTTAAGTTTCAAACAACTGCTTAACATTTCATTTAGTCCGCCACAAAGTTGGAACAAACAATTAATTCCATAACTACTTTATCATCGTTTCCACAATTGTACGCCACGGCTCATCTTAACTCTCCAATATCTTAAGCCTTCCTTTCGAAACAAATTCTTCTTTCATTAGCATGTTTTCTGGGACATTGTCAGTCGGTACCACTTGAGCTTTTTGCGACCTAGTATATTTATTATTGTTTTTAATTGCTGTTGTTTTGTGTTTGTTCTAAATTTATTGTTGTTGTTTAATTTGTGGGTTTTTTCTAATCTTTTAAACCTAAATGTGCATATGTTTGGCGGCCTGCGCACTTATCTCATCCAAATTCTTTCGTGCACTTTCTGTCATATCATCAAGGGACCGTTTTGTATTCAATATCAAATCATCTGTACTTTTGGCAGCAGTTTCGGCAATACCTTTAACTTCGGAATTAATGCGTCCTATAACCCACTCTAGACCCTGGCGTCCTTTGCCCGCATTCATGCTTATGGTAGAGGTGACCATATCTTCCATATAATTACACAGCGGCACACCATGTACAGTAACTGAAGCCTCCTGCTTCAGTAGGGTCTTTGAGGGATCTGTGGGATGGGGTTCATAGTATACAACTTCGTCGACGGAAATGTGACGGCAAAATGTTAAATTAATTGTCTTCAAAACCATGGAACGTTTACTGGGATCCACTGTGGAGCGTTCACTGGCCAAACAAGTTTTGGCGGTGCCAATTAGTTTGTGTGTCCATTTGGGTAAACACCATTTAGACTGCACCAGACGGTGTGTGTGTAAAACGCCATCGACCACTTTGCGTTCGACTACATCGGTGCCAATGATGGACGGTGTCATGGGATTGGGATATTTACGCCATGCTGCCTGTGTTACTGTTTCCCACGGATGGTTGAATGTGTGTTCTGACGTCCAGATTTTCATTATGCAAGATTTGTGTATGTGTGTCTGTAGCAAATCGATTTCCGTGTATCGCCGTCGTCGTCTTAAGAGCAATAGCAGAAAAAATTATGAATCCGCTAAAAACTCTGTTTCGTTGAGCTGTGTCCTTAGATCAGCAGCCTATAATAGACACAAAATAGAAAGAAAACAAACAAATTCCACAATAAATTTCTCAAAAATAATACTTTTTTCGTTTTAAAACTAAAAGCAATTATAAAATTTTAGAAGCACGTAACAACCTTCGAATATGAACAAGAAAAGAAAAAAGACTAGCGAAGCAGAGCAGAGCTCTGCGCCGACAAATATTAACGGCGGTGGCGACTGACACTAAATACGTCGGCGGCGGTTTAAAATCGACTAAGCCGGCTAAGTTTTCAACTACGTTTAGTTTTTAAATTTTCATCGATTTTAAATAAAAACGAAATCCGAGAGATCAGAAAGTGGGATTTTGGAAGCAAATAAATATATTGTTTATAACAACAAAACAGAACAAGCTCAAATGTTGTGTGAGAAATTATGCAGGGATGAAAAAAAATTCTTAAAATTAAAAACGAATCCTTTCTCCAAGTTTTACGAGGATCTGCCAATATTTAAGCCTATCCTCCATATAAAACATCTTGCAGAAAATCAATTTCTAAAAAATTTTGCATTAAGAAAATGATCAATAACGTAAAAACAAAGATATTTTATTTGTTTATTTACTAGCTATACCCAGTGCGCTGAGCTACCCTAAAAGTAATATAAATAAGAAACCCACTTAACGATTTTGATGATTCTAACTACAATGGTTTTCCAGACATACAATTTGTTACATATGGGAGATTCCACGTAAATTATTGCAATTTCCCAGATAAACGAATTTTTGTATTTAATTCATATGGGAGGTTCCGCTCCCCTCATTGGTAGTCACCCAATTTATTACCCAAAATGTTTACATGGATGTTAAAGTTCTTCCAGAACAACATCATTTAAAGGGATCACAAAGAGATTGAAAAATATTCCAAAAGTTTCACTTTGAAAACACTATTAGAGTGTATGAAAACTCGCAACTCTAAAGGCAGACTATTCCTTTTTTAGCGGTAATTTCTTTATGATTAAAATAAGTAAGAAGTAAGAGTTATATTCGGCAAATCATATGTCGTAAAAATGCAAATTTCGGAAGTGGCCATATACATATATATATGGACTTTAATCATTAGATTAATAAGAACGTCACCGTGATTTTCGGATTAGGGACTTAAATGTGGAATTGGATCAATTATGGACAAAGTTCTCTATAATTTAAAGTATTTTTTTTTTTAATTCTACCATAATTCTATCATAATAATAACTTTTGGAATGATGTATTAGCTATAAACTGATTTTCTGTAAGAGGGTTATATTGGCGGACCGATCCTCATAATTTTATTTTTCATAAATGTAGGTTTCGGTTCCTAAAAATGTTTTTTTTCGTCGACATCGACTTTTGAAAGCTATTTATGTGCGTTTAAGTCATTTTCTGAAGAAGATTTCATATACATATGTATTTACATTACATATTTTCGTTCCAACAAAAATTGTTTTATTATGGTATTATTAAGTACGTAGATAACGTTAAAATCAATTATTGAAGGGGGCAGGGTCAATTATGGCCTATGGAGATTTCGATTGATATCGAGCCCTTTTTGCAAAATGGACGTAAGCGAGATAAATTTTCGTTCAATTAGGATACTGCGTGTTTAATTTTATGTTTATATATTCAATATTTTAGAAAATTCAAAGAGTACCAGTTAAAGAACGAAAAATTACCAGAAATACTCCAGTTTAAATTTTCATTCACTCAATTCCCTGATTGCTTAGTTTTATGTTTTTAGGTTCATTATAATAGAAAATTCAAATAGTACCAGTTGAAGAACGCAAAAGTTCCAAAAAGTCCCGTTTTATATGTTCTCATTTACTCCGTACCCTACAGGTTTAATTTCATGTCTATAGGTTCAATATTATAAAAAATTCAAAAAAGTACCAGTCGAAGAACGAAAAAGTACCAAAAAGTCCGCTTTTATATGTTATCACTTAATCCGGTCTGTACATTCTTAATTTCATGTTTCTAGGTTCAATATTATAAAAATTCAAAAAGTACCAGTCGAAGAACGAAATAGTACTAAAAAGTCCCTTTTTATAGATTATAATTTACTCCGGGCTCTACATATATATTTTTATGTTTCTAGGTTTAATTTTATGGAAAACTCAAAAAGTACCAGTCGAAGTACGATAAAGTTCCCCTTTTATAGATTCTCAATTACTTAATTTGCTTAATTTCATGTTTCGAGGTTCAAATTTTGTAGCAAGCTCAAAAAGTACCAGTCAAAGAACCAAAAGGTACCAAACAATGCCATTTTATAGATTCTCATTTACTCCGGGCTCTACGGGCATAATTTCATGTTTCTATGTTCAATTTAATAGAAAACTCAAAAAGTACCTTTTGAAGAACGAAGAAGTACCTAAAAATCCCCTTTTATAGGACCTCACTTAATCCGGTCTCTACATGCTTAATTTCACGTTTCTAGGTTCATTATTATACAAAAACGTAAAATTTACCTTTTGAAGAACCAAAAAGTCCCCTTTTACAGGTTCTCACTTAATCGGGGCTCTACATGCTTTCATGTTTCTAGGTTTAATATTATAGAAAATTCAAAAAGTTCCTTTTGAAGAACGAAAAAGTACCAAAAAGTCCACTTTTATAGATTCTCAAGTGCTTAATTACATGTTTCTAAGTTCTAAGTCAAAAAAGTACCAGTCGAAGTACGATAAAGTACCAATAAGTCCCATTTTATAGATTCTCATTTACTCCGGACTCTACTTGCTTAATATCATGTTTCTAGGTTAAATTTTATAGAAAACTCAAAAAGTACCTTTATAGAACGAAAAAGTTCCGAAAAATCCCTTAATTATTAATTTCATGTTTCGTTTTTTACCCCTTTTTCCCGTTTTTACCCCTTTTGGTACTTTTTTCCTCACCATTAAAAACTTAAAATGTTTCATTAAAATTAATTGTTGGCTATTTTCATTGTAATAAATCAGGCATCTCTATATAAATGGTGTAATGAGAGAATTAAAAAGAACTTAGTTTCACACTGAACATACTGCTATGGAATTTTCCATATTTTTTTAGTTGAGTTGCCAATGTGCGCAAGTTTTCTTTATTACACATTTTTAAAGAAGAAATACAAAGAATAATAAGAAGTTGGACTATGACATTGTTTTACAACAATAACATTTCCTTCTCTTCACAGACGAGTTCTGTGTAAATTCAACACACTTGTGAGAACTCAATTCTCTCACAATACTTCAAAACTTTTTCGCGAAAATACCGGGATAATAGGACTTGAACGACGTCTTTTCACAAACACATAACTATTTTTTAATTTTTTACACAATTTTTTCGCATTTAACAATCCGAAATATTTTTATTTTTCACAAACTAAAAAAATATTTTTTTAATTTTTTTGACAATTAATTTTTGTGTGTTGAAATTAAAATTGACAAAACAAAGTTGTATATTTTGGTATTGAGAATGAAAAAATTATTTAAAATAAACTTATTTTTTTGCAAAAAAAAAGAGATTTTAAGTCCGAAAATTATATTTATTAAATGTTTACTGATTAGATGTGGGCAAAATAAATTAAATTATCTGCGAATGTAAAAATTTAAATGTTATTTATTTTTTCTAAAATTTTTATGTACGATTTTATGCAAGTATGTATGTTTGGAAAGTGTGGTGAAAGTGGTTGGAGCTCTAATACTAATACAAAAATTCTACCAATACATACTTAGAGTTAGGTACCGAATGACAACTCCTTTACGTACCAACTGACAAGCCCCAATTTCTTATTATTCTTTGAAGAAATACTTCAACTATAAACCAATAGTTATTATATTGTTGATTTGAACTTTAGGTTTTCTTTCGCCAAATAGTTCTACTAATGAAATATTAATGTTTTAGCTATATTATTATTTTTATAATAAAAACCTAGAAATGTATAACTAAAGGTATATGACACTTGGTTAGATTTCACATGAAGAGGCGATTTAATTAATACTAAACCGGGAAATATGGAATTAAAAATCCATAGTGTGGATGACACTATTACATTCTTATTTTCAGATTAGTAAATAAGGAATAATATGTTTTTCATTGCAACTAAAATAGTTCGGTTGTAGTTCAGTTCTTGTTTTACACCACATCCGATTTTAGAGCATTGTACTTGTATTTCGCAATTTCATAAATTAACCTAACAATGTATTTTAAGAAAAATTTAATACATAAAGGAATCTTCACTGCTATCCGATAACTGACATACTTACATATGTTAATTTTTGTATGTATGTAAATGGTTATGGCTGAAAGTAGCGATAGAAAATCAAATTTAAGAAATGTTATAGAAGACTATATTTTTATGTAATGTTAATATGACATATAGAAATCGATATACAAAATTAAAAACATGCTCTGGTATATGGATAAATCAAAACCGATCTCTCCTTCCAAAAAACCACTCCTTTCCTTGTAAAAATTGCTCAAAAATTTAAATAAATAAAATTTTTAATGAAATTTTACTATCATTGTGCAAATATGATTTTTATTATTTGTTTATCTCATTCTTCAACGATCAGCTACCTTACTTACAATGGGTTATTGGTACAAACAGAACAAGTGTTTTGTATTTATTTTTTAGCTGAAAAATTTTTGTCTAGCTTATAAGGAGCAGACATACGCAGTCAATGACTATTAAAAAAGCGAATAATGGTGAAAACAAAAGGTAAAACCAATTACAATAGAAAATTTCAATGAACGGAGAGATTTTTGAAGAATTACTGTTTAAGAAATGAACTACTTTGGCCTTCATCTTCTTGCTACGGAAGTTGTGGCAATACTGCTAATAAAACCGGAAATGCATCTAAAAGGTTGATCAGTGTTGTATTCACACTCTCACTGAACATACTTTTGAAATTTAATAACGATAAAAAATTCAAAAATGATGTAAAGATACATATCGTCGCCTAAAACGCAAACGACCCTAACATTTTTAAAATTTTACAGGAGAAGTAAAAAACTATTTAAATTGAAAAGTTTGCTTCTATCAACGCGATTTATTTGTAGCAAATAAACAAATTGTTTTATAGTGAAACCTATTATTTGTTGTGATAATTGACAATGGCGCACAGTGGTATAGGAAAAAAAAGAGGGAAATAATTCGGTAACTTCTAAACGGTTAATCCGATTTTAATGAAATTTGGTGTGCACAAAGAGGAGGTGTTGTCGAGTTTAGGTTTTGAATTTGGACCTTATAGGCCAACCAGGGGCCCGGCGGGGGGTCATCAAATTAGGACACCTCGGCTATGTTAAATTTTTAAAACGATCCTATTTCTTCATTTGAGTTCCGATTTAAAAAAAATTTCGTGTATAGAATCTCCTCATCGAGCACTATAAAAAATGTTGTCATAGCAGTAAATTATCTCTTATAGTTTAGGAGATATTCGCATTTGAAAATTAAAATTTTAAAATTTTTACCGTCCTTACTTTAGTTTTTTTTGATAATAGCAGGTCCAAATATTCCCGATTTTCGCCATTTTGTTTTATTCGCTTAACAACAAGTTTATATATCAAGCAGTGAAAGAATTATGTAAAAATCATGACTGAGTCCAAAGTTATAGGCATTTAAATTTAAAAAATTAAAAAAAGGCGATTTTTTGTCATTTTTTTGGGAAAAAAGTATCTTTTTCTTTTTAAGTTATCTAAAAAGTTTCTAAGAAGATGTATATAGAATTTATACTTTTTGGAAAGCTGACTTTACATAAAATACGATAAATGAAACAAAACCTAAAAATTTTTGATACCGAGGGGACCAGGTCCATCCAAAAAAACCCTATTTTTTATGGAAAATTAAATTTTGAGCAAAAATTCTCAAATCGCATAGTCGATATCAAATTATAGTGACCTGTTTTATATGACCCAATATGTTCTTAATCATTTTGTAACGGGTTTCGATAACCCCGCCCCTGGTATGGATATAATAGGCAAAAAACTAAAAAATCCCATTTTTGGGATTTTTTAAAACTTTTTTGGGAATTCCGGGATTTCTAATAAGAAAATTCGAAATTTTGATTTAATTTTGGATTTTAAGTAAAAAAATCTACCTAACTGTAAAATTTCATCAAAAAATATTCATAAATAAAATTTTTATTGCAATTAGAAAAATTTGTATCTTCGCAAAAACTGAATAAAAAACATTTTTTAATTTTTTTTTAAAAAAGTATTCCGCGAATTTTTTAATTTTCAAAAATTATATACAGTTTTGAAAAATAGACAAAATTACCTTTCCATTGATATATAACATGCCTACCTAATGTTTTTTAAGTGACAAATTAATTAGGGAAAACTCAACATCTTTTAGAAAATTTGCCTAGCACTATTATTTTCATCCATAAGGTTAACTCTTAAATTTGTTACATATATGGATGAAAATAATAGTGCTAGGTAAATTTTCTAAAAGATGTTGAGTTTTCCCTAATTAATTTGTCACTTAAAAAACATTAGGTAGGCATGTTATATATCAATGGAAAGGTAATTTTGTCTATTTTTCAAAACTGTATATAATTTTTGAAAATTAAATTCGCGGAATACTTTTTTTAAAAAAAATTAAAAAATGTTTTTTATTCAGTTTTTGCGAAGATACAAATTTTTCAAATTGCAATAAAAATTTTATTTATGAATATTTTTTGATGAAATTTTACAGTTAGGTAGATTTTTTTACTCAAAATCCAAAATTAAATAAAAATTTCGAATTTTCTTATTAGAAATCCCGGAATTCCCAAAAAAGTTTTAAAAAATCCCAAAAATGGGATTTTTTGGTTTTTTCCCTATTATATCCATACCAGGGGCGGGGTTATCGAAACCCGTTACAAAATGATTAAGAACTTATTGGGTCATATAAAACAGGTCACTATAATTTGATATCGACTATGCGATTTGAGAATTTTTGCTCAAAATTTAATTTTCCATAAAAAATAGGGTTTTTTTGGATGGACCTGGTCCCCTCGGTATCAAAAATTTTTAGGTTTTGTTTCATTTATCGTATTTTATGTAAAGTCAGCTTTCCAAAAAGTATAAATTCTATATACATCTTCTTAGAAACTTTTTAGATAACTTAAAAAGAAAAAGATACTTTTTTCCCAAAAAAATGACAAAAAATCGCCTTTTTTTAATTTTTTAAATTTAAATGCCTATAACTTTGGACTCAGTCATGATTTTTACATAATTCTTTCACTGCTTGGTATATAAACTTGTTGTTAAGCAAATAAAAAAAATGGCGAAAATCGGAAATATTTGGACCTGCTATTATCAAAAAAACTAAAGTAAGGACGGTAAAAATTTTAAGATTTTAATATTCAAATGCGAATATCTCCTAAACTATAAGAGATAATTTACTGCTACGACGACATTTTTTATAGTGCTCGATGAGGAGATTCTATATACGAAATTTTTTTTAAATCGGAACTCAAATGAAGAAATAGGATCGTTTTAAAAATTTAACATAGCCGAGGTGTCCTAATTTGAGGACCCCCCGCCGGGCCCCTGGTTGGCCTATAAGGTCCAAATTCAAAACCTAAACTCGACAACACGTCCTCTTTGTGCATACCAAATTTCATTAAAATCGGATTAACCGTTTAGAAGTTACCGAATTATTTCCCTCTTTTTTTTTTCCTATACCACTGTGTGGCGTATATAAAAATGGATAAATTGGACTTTTTACCTTTAATATTTAAATGTTTTTGTAGATAGGAACTTTTGTTTTTTGTCAATAAAATCGATAATTATGGTCGGAGGAGTCCAATTTTTAGTGTGGACATCTGTTTTGATGCAATACATTAGAACCAATAAAATCGATTTTGAATTTTTGGTTAGTTAGCGTTTTGAAAATACTTTAAGCTCCTTATTTATATCAATACTAGCTATACCCAGTGTGCTTTGCTACCCTAAAAGCAATATAAATAAAAAATCTTCTTAATAATTTTGAAGATTCTAACTGTAATGTTTTCCAGAGATGCATTTTTTCGGAACTTTAATTAAGATTTTAATGTAATCGATGACAAATTAAAAAAAATCTAATATTTTCCCAGATATATGAAATTTTGTATTTAGTTCATATAGGGGGTGCCAAGACCCCATTGAAAGTCAGCCCGTTATTCTCTGAATGTTCTCATGAATGTCAAAGTTCTTCAATTAAAATTTGAAGATTCTAGCTCTAATAGTTTCTCAGATATATTTTCCTATTTAATTTATATGGGGTCTCCAAGCCCCCCATGACGAAAGTCCGCTCTTTTTTCTCCAAAATGTTCAGATGAATATTTAAGTTCTTAGTGCAAAATTTGAAGAATTTAGTTCTATTAGTTTCCCAGATAAAGGAATTTTTGTATTTTATTAATATGGGAGGTGCTGCTCCCCTCATGGGTAGTCCGCCAATTTATTTTCCAAAATGTTTACATGGATGTTAAAGTTATTCGTGCAAATTTTTAATATTCTAACTATAATAGTTTCCAAGGTAAACGAATTTTTGTATTTAATTTATATGGGAGGTGCCATGCCCCCTAATGCTAATCCGCCCACTTTTTGTCTTAAATAATTATATTGATACTAAAGTTGCTCCGACAAAATTTGAAGACTATAACTATTATCTCAGATATACTAATTTAATATTTTCTTAATATGGGCGTGGCACGCCGCCCACATGAAATTTCAACATAAAAAGCCTATAGTTCCTTCCAGACATACAGGAAGAAACTGTGAAAATTTCAGGAAAATCGGTCCAGCCGTTTACCAGTCTATAAAGCACAAACAAACAAACATACATACATACAAACACACTTTCATTTTTATATATATAGATTAGAATAAACAACCTACATAGGTATGTCTTTTGGATAATAGTTTACATCGTATCAAATATTTCTTATATATATTACAAATCTACGCTTTCAGTTGCATATTTTTGCAAATATTTGTTCTTATTAAGCCACTGCTCACAACACGAATAATGGTCATTTAATCTAAGCATGACTCATGTATATTTAAACCAAATTTTGATAACAGTTTATTTAGCAACTACAAACTGACAATTTAAACAGATATATACACAGTCATACGGGCAAGAAAACAAAATTATAACAAACAATAACAAGTCTTTGTCATCCATTGAGATAAAAGAGCAATTTAGTTAAACTTACTTACGTATTGTGTTTTTTTTTTTAATATCTCGTGTTACAACAAATACACTTGAGCTTGGCCACCCTGAGAAAATATTCAAAATGACTCAATGATAATTAAGAAACAAACAAATGCAATATCACATGAATAGGAGAATGCAAGTCGATTTTGATAGAGGCGATTTCATTTTATTTTTTATATGAAATTTGACAATATCAGTTGAGATAAAAATGTTTTGTACAGAGAGTTTGATAGTTTTGAAAAAAATTTCTTGTGTTCAACATCTGTATAATATACGCCTGGAATGCTTTACATTGTAAAGTTTACAATTAAATAGATGATAATGCTATGTTTGTGTGCATTGTATTATGTATAAAATAATGAATTAGGCCAGCAGTTGCATATATGTATGGTTTTATTCAGTTTGTTTTGTTTATTATGTACTTTATTAATAAGTTTTTGAATATTAATTACAATTATTTATTTATTTATTATTTACTTATAATAAAATGATTTTAAAATAATAAAAAATAAACAAAAAGTGAGCACGAAAAGCTTTTACTAAGGCTAACGGCTTTTGTTCTATGCTTTGTTTTTGTATTTTTTTCCTTGCAACTATGTACACTATTTCCAACATAAATTATTTAACAAGATGAGACAGGTATAAAATAATGAAATCTGTTTAATTCTACTAATTTGGAATTTCTAAAATACCGCAGAATCATCTCAGTGACTTTTGTTTCTATATACTCTTAATCAACGAACGTCCTTCAATTACTCAGATATTGATCAAAGTCTTAGAATAACTGTAATACCTACGACGTTTAAACTTTAAAGTTTGTACAGCTTTTCAAAAATTTCCTTTTTCTTGATAAAATTACCTCAAGAGTATTGATTTAAAATCATCAAAATAACTTTTAAATTTTTTTATCTGTAAATAAATAATCAACATCATTCAACTGGAGGGTTATTTTGTTATTCGTTTCGAAAGCAAATTTATTCAAAATTGTATGTTTTATACGAACAAAAGGCTTACTTGTGTAGGCAACACTGTTCCAGATCTACAATTATTATTGCTCATTCATTACGAGACTGGTATAACTCAAAACGATCGCTTCTATATTATATTACTTTATGATAGAGAATCGTGGAATGCTGAATCGGATGACACCAATACTATTCATGTTTTTGTTAACAGTTACCTCCGTAAAATCGTACACCTAACAAACTCCCGTTCAAATGGCGTTTGATTGGGCACATACTCAGAAAGCCGCCAAATGACATTACTAGATGGCTATCAATCGGAATCTCCAGGGCCAGAAACGTGTAGGCAGACCTGTCCATACTCAGAGAAGACATTGCTGCTGAAATTAGATCTTCAATAGTCAGATAAGGCGTATGGCAAACTCTATATACATAATTGGAACAGGTTTTAAACAATTCAGCATAAAGTCTTTAACATTATAATCCCTATAGTAATCTTTACTTAACGAAATCATTTTTAATACTAAATTCATATTGGAAACAGTGTAATGTGTGTTTTTTTTTCTATTGAATATCTATTCGTTTACGTTTGTATTTATTAAATAAGTATGTATTTTTTACTCGTTATTTACTATTTATTTTTTCTCTCGTATTTAGCATATCATTGTATTTTATGTTGTTGTTGTATTGGTTTTTTGTTTATAAATTTTATTTCGTTTTATTTTATTATATTAAAGAATTTTATTTAATTTAATTTTATTATGATTATTTCTTTATATGTATATTATATACTATAATCGAAATTTAATTTAATAAACATACAAACATGTTTTTTTTATATAGATTTGTTTTTTAAAATAATTTCTTAAATTATTAAAAATGAATATAATTTCTTAATTGTTTTACTAACACAAGTTGTTCGTAAATTAATTTTTGCAATGGAAAAAATTTTGTTATAACAGAAAGGGGGGGGGAGTGAGTAGTACATTGTTATAGCTGTAGATTATTTTTAAAAGATGAATAATTTTACATTTTTAAAGTTTTTTATTTAAATTATTGACACTTTATTTTTGATCAGCTCTTAGGGAAAAGAAAAGTTGGTAGGAAGGTTTAAAGTTTTTGTGAAAAATAACATAAACAAGAAAACAATATAACATTTACCGGACACGCAAAGTATGGGCAAAATTATAATATGTATGTAATAAAAAAGGGGAGGCCGATAGCCACCAGCCAGCCAGCAACCAGCATCATAAATACACTTGTCGTATGTAAATGTAGAAGAGAGTAGAGCTTAAATTAGCATTGACAGTTATCAGCATTTCCGGGACGATTGTTTCGATCAGCATTCAAACGAATTTGATCGGGGAATTCATTGTACAGCTCAACTTCGGCTTCTTGGGCCAATGCATTTTTGGCGATAGTCTGAAAGGCCAATTCCACGTTAATGCCCTCCTTGGCCGATGTCTCAAAGTAGGGTATGTCGTTTTTCGATTGACACCATTGTTGGGCTCGTCGTGTCGACACCTGCCTATTGTCCATGTCCACCTTGTTGCCCAGCACAACGAATGGGAAATGTTCGGGATCTCGGGGACTGGCCTGTATTAGGAATTCATCGCGCCATGAGTCTAGGTTCTTGAATGAGTTGGGCGATGTGACGTCATAGACCAAGACACAACAATCGGCCCCACGATAGAAAGCAACGCCCAATGATTGGAAACGCTCTTGACCCGCAGTATCCCAGATTTGCAATGTGACAACACGATCATCGACCACCACCTCTTTTGTACAGAAATCAGCACCAATAGTGGCCTTATATTGATTTGAGAAACGTTTGCTTACATATTGATTCATCAATGAGGTCTTTCCAACACTGCTGTCGCCCAAAATGATGATTTTCAACAGCGACTTCTTACGTGTAGCCATATTTCAATTTAATCTCTCTCGACCAGCACAATCAATTAACCAAAAATATAAAGAAAACACCAACAAAAAAATATCTTTCAAAACGTAATAATTTTTCGCCTTTATGCAGTTAAATTTTCTACTTTTTTCGTTTTTTTTTTTTTTCTTTTATGTCGTACTTCTTTTTTTGCTTTTTCTTCTATTTGCCACACACACAAACTGCGCAGTTTTTTCTTCTAATTTTTTTATTTTTTAATTATTCAATAGTTATTTTCTATTATTTTTCAGCAGATTTTTCAATTACGTAGCGTAATTATTAAATCATAAAAAAATAATTTAATTACACTCGTTAGAGTTTAGCGTTAAATGAAATACCACTTTTTTCGTCTCTTAACAAGGAAAATACAAGTTTTTATGTAGTAATTGTGTAAAAATTTTTTCTTTGTTTGTGTTTTGACAGATAAAAAGATAGATGATGAAAAGAGGAAAAGAGAATGATATTATGATCAGGTGGCAGCTCAATGCAATATGTGGAAGGTGCAATTGTGTAATAAGTGCTGCCGGATCTTGGGGAAAATAAAAGTCGCTTTGAACGAAATGTTTCAATACAAAATTACAAAAAATGAAAGACGGGAAATTACCCTTAAGTGGGTCTCTCCAGTAAGTTGAGGGATCCATAATTAAAAATAATGAAGGATGGAAAAAGACCCTTAGTGGGTCCCTCCAGTAAGTTGAGTTTTAGAATTCTAATTCCGGAAGCCATGGGTTCCATTTTTCAGAGATTTTGCGTTATGTGCATTTCTTCGGATGTGACATACAGCCCCCTTAGTAAGTAAGTAAGTAAGTAAGTAAGTAAGTAAGTAAGTAAGTAAGTAAGTAAGTAAGTAAGTAAGTAAGTAAGTAAGTAAGTAAGTAAGTAAGTAAGTAAGTAAGTAAGTAAGTAAGTAAGTAAGTAAGTAAGTAAGTAAGTAAGTAAGTAAGTAAGTAAGTAAGTAAGTAAGTAAGTAAGTAAGTAAGTAAGTAAGTAAGTAAGTAAGTAAGTAAGTAAGTAAGTAAGTAAGTAAGTAAGTAAGTAAGTAAGTAAGTAAGTAAGTAAGTAAGTAAGTAAGTAAGTAAGTAAGTAAGTAAGTAAGTAAGTAAGTAAGTAAGTAAGTAAGTAAGTAAGTAAGTAAGTAAGTAAGTAAGTAAGTAAGTAAAGTAAGTAAGTAAGTAAGTAGTAAGTAATAAGTAAGTAAGTAGTCGTTAATTTTTGATCATGCTTCATGTAAATTTCCGTTGAATCAGATACATCTCATTACATTTCATTCAGAAATACAACCTGTCTAGATTTTATTAAAAGCATTTCCTTAGTTTTATTTCAATTTCCTACTGTTTAATGCTTAACACAATACTAATATAGTATTGTTAAATTTATTTTTAATTCATTTATAATTTATAAACACTATAATACTGCAATAAATTTATTTCTTATTACCATCCAAACGTTTAAGTTGTTTGCGTGCCGGTTTAAAAGTCTGACAATATTTCTCGAACGTTGCTGGATTCACTTGTAATAGATTTTGTTCAACAATTTTACGAAAATTACGTAAACTCTGATGTTCAAAACGCAATTTCTCGTGTTCCGTTTCAATGAAGTTCTGTATAATGGCCTGAGCATTCTGATTGTCCATTACGACGGGTTTATTGTGCAAAACTTGTTGCCTTACTTTATTGTATTCACAGTCCATTAGTTTGTTTAAAGAATCGGGTAAATTGGCATTGACTTCTTCGAATAATTCCTTGTTATTTGCAGCATTTGACTTACGATTCCTATCGCCTTCCATATTAACTCCCAGCAATTGAGCCAAATTGGTTTCGGTGCCATTGCTATCCGAAGTGCGTTCCGTGTTAGTTTGTTTTTGAAAATTATTTATTTCATCCTGCATTCCATAGATATCGTAAAATTTATAGCCCAACATCTCCAAGGCAATTTCCGTGAGTAAATAGGACATGTTTTCGATACTTTTTAGCAATTCTTTTATGTACAAAATATTTACAAATAGAAGTTGTTTGTTTGGAATTTTCAAGCACACTTTTGTAAATAAAAAATAAACAAAGGGTATGTTCAGTGAGGGTGTTTTTTTAAATAATGCAGCGTTGTGTCAATTTTAAAAAATCGCTTAAAAATGTTTCCAAAATATTTAAAAATAATTAAAAATTTCAAATTAAAGTTCACCCAAGTTCTTTGTGGGCTATAAGTTCTAAAATGTTAATTAGATTTTAATAGATATTAGTGTGTCTGGAGAAGAAACGTTTTCGATTATAAATTTAGAACTTCTCAAGTATGTGAAGAATATCCAGGATGCAAACAATTCATAATCCAAGAATTATGAAATTTAAAAAAATTTATTTAATGAAAATAATATTAAATATATGTAGAGACAAATTATGACCAATTTATCTACCATGCTACTCTGTTACCGCTAAAAACATGTGTTATTTATTTCCATAATTTTGATTCTGACCACTATGTTTTCTTAAACCATTATTACCTTAAAATAGTTCACTACAATTACACTGAATTCCCGTTAACAAAATAAATCAACATACGGCCCTTGAAATAACATTACGGAATAAACCGTTTTTATCGCTTAAAAACGATTCCAACATTCTACAAAGTCCTTATAGATAGCGGAGTCGATTTAGTCATGCCCGCTCCGTCTATCTGTACGTCTGTACATACATATGTATGTTAAAATCCGTTTTCAGAAAATTAATTAAATGAACATTATTCGTTTACAGTTAACCATATCGGGATAAAATTAACATTAATATGTTGTACATACACAAATTATTTAACAAATTTTTTTTTCAGGATCGTTTCATATTTGACCATAGCTCCTATGCAATGCCTACTTCCGAAAATTTTGCTTAAATATGATGGGTATTTAAGATTTACACAGGGATTTTTTTATCAATAAGACCATCTGGTCTTTCGGAAATTTAAACGATTTTTGCTGTTACCTTCGTAAACAATTTTCACAACACTCAGCAATAATTTCAATTTCTTAATCTCCCAACACTGAACACACCCACCACTAGACAGCTGTTGCAACAACAAATTCATTACAAACTTCTTCATTCTCCTTTTACCTGTGTTTATTTTAAGTATAGAAATTCGATGTGATTTCATTGCATTTTATTATTATTGTTGTTGTTTTTTGTGGGTAAATTTGTTGTTTACCTGTATATTTGTTGTATTTTTTGGACAAAATCAAAAATAAAATGTTACAAAATTGATCCTTTAACTTTAGTAAAAGTGAAGTGTTTGTGAAAGAAAATATTAACAAAAAGGAGTTGAGGAGTTAAACAACATTGTGACATACAGAGTCTCAAAATCATTTTGACTATAAACGTAGAAGCATGAAAATCAACGAAAAAAATTTGTGTGTTTTTGCCACTAGTCCACCATACGACAAGGAGGGATTTCTTTTCAAAAAGGGTGAGGTCAACAAGGCCTTCCAAAGACGATACTTTGTGTTGAAAGGAAATTTACTATTTTACTTTGAGAAAAGAGGCGACAAGGAACCTTTGGGTTTGATTATAGTTGAAGGCTGTACTATTGGTAAGAAGTGAAGTGATTCATGGCAAATTATAAAAAATTCTTAAATTTAATTTGTATATTTTTAGAACTTTCGGAAGAAAGTGATCAATATTGTTTTGAAATAGCTTTCAATGGCAATCGTACGTATATTTTATCAGCAGAATCACAAGAGAGTATGGAATCCTGGATGAAAGCTTTAACATGTGCTGGCTATGAATATAAAAAACTTATGGTGGCAGAATTGCAAAGACAACTAGAGGAAATAGACAATTCTCGCAATAGTATGTACCACTACTGCAAAAAAAAAAAACAGTCTATGATATTAAAATATTTCTATTATATTTCAGAAATAACCACTGACTCCATGCCCTCTTCAACAAATGTTTTAACACCCAAACCACCACCACGTCGCACTAATCCCTTTAATCGTCCTGCTCCCCCTTTACCTGGTACTGGCAATGGCAATAATGGCCTACCGCTTGCTCCACCAGCAATGCCTTTTATAAATGGCAATTTTGGTTCATCTTCGCAACGTAATACTACTGCGTCTAATTCCACCACTGTCAATAATATACAAACAGGTATGTAAATATGGCAAAAAACAACGTCTGTTATCTAATTATGTATTTACTTTTTTTGTTTGATTTCTGTTTTTTTTTTTTTTGCTAAAAGCTTTAAAGAGATTAAAGAATCAGAAAAATATTTGTGGTTTGTAAAAACACATATGTACATATGAACGTATATGATGATTCATATTTGTCTTTTTAATAGAATCTTTAAATAGTTTGTAAATGTCACAGAAAAGTTCGACATTCTCAAATTTTAAAATTGTTTTAGAGGTCATATCATCTGTCTAAAATATATAGTATACAGAGTTAGCATATTGTTATTGTTGTAAGGCTATTGGTCAATGGCCACATCTGTGTAGAAACCAGTAAGGTCTGTTACAAATTCTGCAAAGACTCTTCAAAGTTGTGTATCTGCATCTTCATCAAAACTTTATAGCACACAATTAAGAAAACCTGATAGCAATCAAGATTTCCTAATGAACCCTTTCGCTAGCTCAAATTTCTCTATTGAAATCTTTTGCAAATTGAAGCGTTCATTCGTTAGCTCAAGCTACCTACAGTTTTTCTATTCGAGTCCTTGAAAGATCTCTTCTTTAAGAGATTAAGTTTTTTCTTTTCTCATCAAAACCTGCGTCTGTAGTACTTTCGTGATGATCTTCAGCTACTTTTCTCTTAATAACCTCTGCCAGAAAGTTTTAAAGACTTAACGTATTCTTGCACACTTCATAGTAGTGGGTACCTAAGAAGCATTATCTAGTCTACAGCTCCTTCCGAATACCTAAGCGATTTCTCACCTTTCCATGTAACCCACACATCTTCCTAATTAAATCGGCGACGCTTTATTCATATGAGTAATAGCCCTTTGATGAAAACATTCACCTGATACTCTCTGTCTATTCCTGAAGATAGCATTTACAGATATTCTCTTGCTTTCAATATTCTCTTGCTATATTAGCCAGATACATAAGATGAGTAAATCCCTTTTTACTATATTACGATTAATTTTTTCCGATTAGTATCGATTTTCATATATTCCAAGATTCATATATTCCAGATTAAGCAGTCTGACTTTAATCCTAAATACCTCGCTGAAGAAAACATATAGTTCACTCTTACTCCTCATGGAGCCATCAGTGTAGACTTTCGTTACACTTTCAGAAAGGTGAGTTTCACTTAGACTTTGGTCAAACTTATACTCAGGAATATATTGTTGTTTGGAATTAAGGTATACGTATGTAAATATCAGTAGAATGAGAGTAAATATTAAGGACGGTTTATTATGGGAGTTCATTAGAATAATAAGCAGAATCTAAAATATAAAGATAAATGAAGATTGTTAGAATAATTTTCGATAGAAATCTTTATTGAGGAAAGAATTTATTCCCCCTAAATATGAACATTAGGATGGCCCAAAAATGCTAGTTGCTACTATTTGTTCATTCTAAGATATCATATCATTTCCTTGCGTGAAACATGAACAAAATGGCAAAACCTTTGACCTAGCTCACCAAATATTGACGCCAGTGTAACAATGTTGAGAGATTTGCTATATCTTTAAAAAGTTTTCATTTTCGGTGGTAACATCAGTGCCCTATATTTTTCTATATATATATTAGTACAAATAAATATCTATAATTGTTAGAGGTAATTTTGATATTTTATCATTAGTATACTTCTCAATATTAATACCTACATATTTAATAATTCGATACACTTGTTAGTGAACTACTTCTTAAATTACAAAATGTGTAAAAAGAATGCACAAGGCAAAAGAGGCAAACAAATAACGTTTTTATCAATCAACGAGAGAATATTCAAAAGCAGAGCAATAGACAATGTAGGTACAACAACGAGATGAGACTAAATATTATAAACAAAAACATTGTTTTATATTATTTATATATTTAAACAACAATCGCGGTGTTTATGCGACACACATTCTTCAAAAACAAAATACTCACAGCAATTGTAGAAGTATAGACTGCAACAGTTTAACGGTTTATTTTAATCTCTAAAGAAGTCCCCTTTAAACTTAACAAAAATATTGTTGTATTTTTAATTTGTTTGTGCTTCTTATTAAAATACATAATTATAAAATTGATAATAAATATCTCATTAAACGTGAAAATATATAAATAATGGGCAAAAATTTATATATATGCCTTGAATACATTTGTTGTATATATCCTAGAAATGGTTATTCACTTCTGTCAACAACCTCATCTATTACAGGACGTGATACTAGTCCCTTACCACCACCAAGAGGCATAAATTCAGCACATGGTTCAACATCATCTTTGGCTTCAAATTCGAATTCAAATACCAATACTACTACTACATCAAGAAGTGAATTCTTTATACCAACTCAAGCAATTACTCAGCAATTGCAGTCACAACAACAGCAACAAAAACAACATAATCACCACCACCACCATCATCATCAGCAGCATCCCAATAATCTCCATAGTACCAACAAACTACCTACTAACAAAGTATTCTTTATTGATATTCAAAATCACAATCATTCATTGAATTTTAACGAAATTCACGAACAATTTCGCCAACTTGTCATGAAAGATATTTTAGAATATCAGGCTCAACGTGAAATTAAAGCCCAGCCTCTTATACAATTGTGATTTTAAAGAAATTTGAAAAAAAACAAAGCCTCTTCTAGTAAAACATACACTTACTTATACTTACCTATAAAACATGACGTACGTCAGTTATCTTTTGCTTTATCATTATTAATTTTTTTGCTAAGAGCAGATTTAACATTTATCTTGTCCCTTTCATTTTTTGTGTTTTAATTTAAAATATAATTTTTAATTTAATATTATTTATTTTACGTCGCTTGGAAAATATTGCAAGACATCCACTATGCAGACACTTTAAATAAACTTAGCGTTATATAATAAAAAAAAAATCTTCCTCAAAAGATTTCTAAAATTATAATAAAACAATAAAATGTTACTAAAAAAAATTTTAATAAAAATTAAAAAAAAAAAACAAAAGATTTCATTGTTATATTTTAAGAAATAGAAAAAAAGGTTAGTATGTGTTAAAACCATAGCTGTAAAATTTCGATTACGATTAATAATCAATTAAATTATTTTTCAAAAATAATCGTAATGATTATTTAATTATCTGGTTTAAAATGTATGATTATTAATTGATTACGATTAAAATTAATCTAAAAATAATCAGGATTAATTTAAATTAATGAAAATAATCAAAAATAATCAAAATTAATCAAATAATTAATTTGATTATTTTCAAGAATTAATTTTGATTATTTTTGATTAATTTCAATATATTTAGTATAATTTCCTACCTTTTTACATTAAGTGTAATGGAAAACAATTTTTCAAGTTATGACACTATTCAATTATATTTATCAAGTTTATTTCTATTGAAAACCTTGATCTCAATACAATATGTTAGAAAAAAATACTGCAATTTTTTCGAAATGGGTCTCAAAAAATCCGTAATTTTTAGCTGATTACGGAAAACATAATTAAATTTTTCTTAAGAGTTTTTTTTTTTTTTTGGAGGAAATTTTACTAAATATATGGAAAATAATCAAAATTAATCCTAGAAAATAATCAACTAATTTTTGGATTATTTTTGATTATTTTCATTAATTTCAATTAATCCCTGATAATTTTTAGATTATTTTTAATCGTAATCAATAATTAATTAAAAAAATTCAAAATAATCGTTAATCATTAATTTTACTTTTTTAATAAAAATAATCTAATTAATAATGATTACGATTGATGTGGTTTAACCTGGAGCAAGAAATGCAAAGTGCCGGTCCACACACAGAAACTTTAGTTGAGAAACTTTTTCTTGGTTCTCTTTTAAAGTTTTGTTAGGGCCAATCTTTAGGTGAAAGATTAGCGATTAAATTAAAATTAATCCTCGAAAGATGTTTTTGAGTACTCAATTAGTTAATTTTGTTTGCAAGTTTAAGCGCCCAATGGAGGTGGTTTAATCTTAAGCACGAAATGCAAAAGTGTAAACAGCTGATGCAAAAAAAAAATTAATAAAATTTTTATGAATATAAACATTAAAATGTTCTATTTATTGATTAGTATAAATTATGGACACTTCAAAATACATTTTTTTGTTTTTAATTTAAGTTTTCATTAATTTTCATATTAAATTTACAATTGTCTTCTTCTTTTTTATAAAATATGCATTGTTTTGATAACAAACAGTGACATTTTCTGTTGTTTTGTATGGCAACACTGCGAAGTTTAATCTTGTACTCAAAACATCAAAGGGGATTAACATAAGATTAAATTTGTTTTTAGATTAACTAATCTGATTATTAATTGGCATTTGATTACCATCTCAAAAACCTGCTCTAAAATGTTTTATTTCTCGATTAGTATAAACTATGGTGACTTCAAAATAAATATTGTTTGTTTTTAAGTTTTCGTTAATTTTCATATTACACTTATACCCCGTTCACATGATGCAATTATTCGTCATTCACGCTCTCATTCAACCCCAAATTACATACTGAATGACATGATTCAGCCGTGAATTACACAAGCTGTACGTAATTCAGTTTGAATTACGTACGAATTACGAATGAATGAGTGTAATGTCAAAACGAATTACGAATGTGTCGTAGAAACGGGTTAACTGGCTCGAAGGTGAAGGAAATAAAAACTTCTCAGACGTACCTATAACACTTTCGATCACATCATGTAATACCAAATCTAGCGATTTTTTTTCAGCGTATAATCAAATCGGATTCAACTTCAATAAAATATACTTCGTAAAATATGTTTATTTTATTAATTTTTAAATTTATAATACTATATAATTATAATTCTGTTATAAATGCATTTTTTATCCTTTTTTTGTAAAATATTGACGATTTTTTAATTACGATTTATGGGCAAAATAAACATAAGAGTTGGCAACATTAAATACAACTCTGTCTTGAAGGTAACATATTAAATACAACACTGTTAGAAAGCAACAACAACGATAGTTTGCAAACACAACAACTCTGTTCAGTTGCCGCGGTTCAAGGAAAAAAAGTGGTGCGTCTGTTGTTTGCGTCTTTTCAGTTCTTTGAATTTTTGCAATTATTATTTTTTTGTAAACAAAATTACAACTACTATTTCTCCATAAAATAAAACGTAAGTTAAACATAATTAATTAATAAAATATATATATAAAAAATGTTATTGAAATGATTTATACAAAGTTAGAAAAAGTGTAAATGTGTGAAAAGAATGAAATGAGTTTTTTTGCGGCGTCAGTAGAAGTGACGCCAACGTTTGAATTTTTTTGCTAAAAGAAACGCAGCTTGCAGAGGCTTCTTTTTGTTTCATTGTTTGTTTTGTTTTAAATTAATTATAAAACGAAGAATTGTTCCTAATTATATTAAGGATGTGAGTGATTATCTTTCAATACTCGGTTTGGAATATTGTAATGCCCAAGTTACAATTTTGAAAGTATCACTCGCTGCCGTGGTGTCCTTCATTTTGTTTTTCTTGTAAAACCACTTGCACCTTTTGCCCCCCGTTTTCCCGGCATCTTATCATTGTGTTTTTTAACCCACCAACATTTGGCCAAACGCTTAATGAGAAAAACTGATATAAAAATATTCTTTATACACATTCATTGTAAGTATGTACGACGAACGAACCATTTCTGCAATTGTGTACATTATGTTTTTTCTTCGAGTCTTTTTTTTTGTACTAACGACGAATGAAAGACTCAACGGGCAAATACAAACAAACAATCATCACATTCTCATTATTTCATTATTGTCGCTTCTATTGACCCCAGTGAGTTAGTTTCTTTCTATATACATAGCATAACCGAACTAGGGTCTCAAGTTAACTGAACAAGATAATGATGATGTTTATGTTGCTTTTCTTGCTACCTTGAAGGTATTGTTTACACAGAGGCAGGAGGAGTTCGTTGTCTTAACCAACGAACCAAACAATAAGACACAAACAAATACAACCATAACATCTTTAGAATCTAGTCATAAGCTCAAGAAAATATTTCACGAAGCACAAAAAACTATATCTATAGAGTTCAATTTTATCTTTACAGCTTAATTTTCTAATAAAATTCTATTATGTCGGCCAAACGTAAAGCTGGTGGAAATGGCAATGGTCCCAATAAAAGACGTCCCAAAAAGAAGGAATCCGACTATGAAGATGAAGTCAGTGATGAGAGCGAGGATGAGGGCGCACAATCCACTTCAAATCAGGTGGAAGTTTTAATACCCAATGATGATTTGGAGCCGCCATCCAAATTGCCTGATGATTTATTGGCCACTATGGAAAAAACACCGGGTAAAATGTTAATAGCCGGTATGGTTACTTGGGATTTGACGGGCAAACGTGATCGTAAAAATGTGGTTAAAGTTCGTCCAAATCTATATAATTTTCATCGTTTCACAGATGAGAAGGTAAGTGAAAGTTTACTATTTATAGCAGTAATTTTAGCAAACTTTTTAAGGCGATCACAGTAGGGTTGAATCGAATGCTACTGTAAAGCTTTTTTTAATTTTTCTATAGTCTAGTCTATAGTATAGTCTATAGTCTAGTCTATAGTCTAGTCTATAGTCTAGTCTAGTCTAGTCTATAGTCTAGTCTATAGTCTAGTCTATAGTCTAGTCTATAGTCTAGTCTATAGTCAGTCTATAGTCTAGTCTATAGTCAGTCATAGTCTAGTCTATAGTCTAGTCTATAGTCTAGTCTATAGTCTAGTCTATAGTCTAGTCTATAGTCTAGTCTATAGTCTAGTCTATAGTCTAGACTATAGTCTAGTCTAGTCTATAGTCTAGTCTATAGTCTAGACTAGTCAGTCTATAGTCTAGACTATAGTTCTAGTCTATAGTCTAGTCTATAGTCTAGTCTATAGTCTAGTCATATAGTCTAGTCTATAGTCTAGTCTATAGTCTAGTCTATAGTCTAGTCTATAGTCTAGTCTATAGTCTAGTCTATAGTCTAGTCTATAGTCTAGTCTATAGTCTAGTCTAGTCTAGTCTATAGTCTAGTCTATAGTCTAGTCTATAGTCTAGTCTATAGTCTAGTCTATAGTCTAGTCGATAGTCTAGTCTATAGTCTAGTCTATAGTCTAGTCTATAGTCTAGTCATAGTCTAGTCTATAGTCTAGTCTATAGTCTAGTCTATAGTCTAGTCTATAGTCTAGTCTATAGTCTAGTCTATAGTCTAGTCTATAGTCTAGTCTATAGTCTAGTCTATAGTCTAGTCTATAGTCTAGTCTATAGTCTAGTCTATAGTCTAGTTATAGTCTAGTCTATAGTCTAGTCTATAGTCTAGTCTATAGTCTCTTTAGTCTAGTCTATAGTCTAGTCTATAGTCTAGTCTATAGTCTAGTCTATAGTCTAGTCTATAGTCTAGTCTATAGTCTAGTCTATAGTCTAGTCTATAGTCTAGTCTATAGTCTAGTTTATAGTCTAGTCTATAGTCTAGTCTATAGTCTAGTCTATAGTCTAGTCTATAGTCTAGTCTATAGTCTAGTCTATAGTCTAGTCTATAGTCTAGTCTATAGTCTAGTCTATAGTCTAGTCTATAGTCTAGTCTATAGTCTAGTCTATAGTCTAGTCTATAGTCTAGTCTATAGTCTAGTCTATAGTCTAGTCTATAGTCTAGTCTATTAGTCTATAGTCTATAGTCTAGTCTATAGTCTAGTCTATAGTCTAGTCTATAGTCTAGTCTATAGTCTAGTCTATAGTCTAGTCTATAGTCTAGTCTATAGTCTAGTCTATAGTCTAGTCTATAGTCTAGTCTACAGTCTAGTCTATAGTCTAGTCTATAGTCTAGTCTATAGTCTAGTCTAGTCTATAGTCTAGTCTATAGTCTAGTCTATAGTCTAGTCTATAGTCTAGTCTATAGTCTAGTCTATAGTCTAGTCTATAGTCTAGTCTATAGTCTAGTCTATAGTCTAGTCTATAGTCTAGTCTATAGTCTAGTCTATAGTCTAGTCTATAGTCTAGTCTATAGTCTAGTCTATAGTCTAGTCTATAGTCTAGTTTATAGTCTAGTCTATAGTCTAGTCTATAGTCTAGTCTATAGTCTAGTCTATAGTCTAGTCTATAGTCTAGTCTATAGTCTAGTCTATAGTCTAGTCTACAGTCTAGTCTATAGTCTAGTCTATAGTCTAGTCTATAGTCTAGTTAATAGTCTAGTCTATAGTCTAGTCTATAGTCTAGTCTATAGTCTATAGTCTAGTCTATAGTCTAGTCTATAGTCTAGTCTATAGTCTAGTCTATAGTCTAGTCTATAGTCTAGTCTATAGTCTAGTCTATAGTCTAGTCTATAGTCTAGTCTAGTCTAGTCTATAGTCTAGTCTATAGTCTAGTCTATAGTCTAGTCTATAGTCTAGTCTATAGTCTAGTCTATAGTCTAGTCTACAGTCTAGTCTATAGTCTAGTCTATAGTCTAGTCTATAGTCTAGTCTATAGTCTAGTCTATAGTCTAGTCTATAGTCTAGTCTATAGTCTAGTCTAGTCTAGTCTATAGTCTAGTCTATAGTCTAGTCTATAGTCTAGTCTATAGTCTAGTCTATAGTCTAGTCTATAGTCTAGTCTAGTCTAGTCTATAGTCTAGTCTATAGTCTAGTCTATATAGTCTAGTCTATAGTAGTCTGTAGTCTAGTCTAGTCTGTAGTCTAGTCTATAGTCTAGTCTATAGTCTGGTCTATAGTCTAGTCTATAGTCTAGTCTATAGTCTAGTCTATAGTCTAGTCTATAGTCTAGTCTATAGTCTAGTCTATAGTCTAGTCTATAGTCTAGTCTATAGTCTAGTCTATAGTCTAGTCTATAGTCTAGTCTATAGTCTAGTCTATAGTCTAGTCTAGTCTATACATGTGAGAGTTTTCATGAGCAATTCTTAATTTATCATCTTCCAGTATCGTTATGTGGCCAGTGGATGTGCTGCCGCTCACACCATTCTCATAAATATGGATCGTAAGGCAGTGGCTTTTGGACGCAATCCCTCGGGTCAACTGGGTCTACCCGATACTAAATTGTGCGAGAAACCAACCGTAATACCAGCATTGGAAAAATTCAATATTGTACAGGCAGCGGTAGGACGTCATCATTCACTTTTCCTTACAGATACCGGCACTGTGTATGCATGTGGTGACAATAAGTCGGGTCAGTGTGGCATTGGAAATACCACTCCTACGGTAAACACACCAACTCTGATTAATTATCGTGGTCCTCCCATTATACGTATTGCTTGTGGTGCCGAATTCTCTGTTATCTTGGATATAAAGGGAAATTTACATACTTTCGGTCTGCCCGAATACGGTCAATTGGGTCATAATACAGATGCCAAATATTTTGTAAATGCCAATAAATTATCATTCCATTTCGAGACATCACCCAAGAAAATTGTACTCTACATAGAGAAGAGTAAAGATGGTCATGTAACACCGGTGGAGGGAGTACAAATTGTGGATTTTGCCTGTGGCAATAATCATACGGTAAGAGAAAGGAATAATTGTTTTATGAAATGGAAGTAATTGCTATTGTTTTGCTGTACAGGTGGCTATAGATTCCAAGAAACGTGTCTATAGTTGGGGCTTTGGTGGTTTCGGTCGTTTAGGTCATGCTGAGCCTAAAGATGAAATGGTACCTAGACTCATAAAATTCTTTGATATTGGCGGTCGTGGTGGACGCAGTGTTTACTGTGGCGCCACTTATAGTTTGGTGGTCAATGAGTTGGGTGTACTCTTCCTATTCGGACAAAATAAAAAGACTGGTGAAGCTAACATGTATCCCAAGCCGGTACAGGATTTATCGGGTTGGAATATCACCGCTATTGGCTGTAGCAACACATCGATTATAATCTCAGCGGATGACACTCTAATTGCCTGGGGTGCTTCGCCCACCTATGGTGAATTGGGTTTGGGTGAGTTCCAGAAGTCTTCCACGGTCCCCAAAGAGGTACCAAAGATGGACAGCATGAAAATACCTCAAGTAGCCATGGGTTACTCACACGCCGTCCTTTTGGTCGACACAGACAATGAAGCCACAGAAGGAAAATATGAAAAATTACCCGAATACACTATTGATGATTAGAAAGAGGAAGGAAATGAAAAGGAGAATGTTAAGTTAGAGTATGATTACATAAAAATAGTTTTAGAACACAAACACGAGGAAAAGAAAGAGAGAGAGCGCGATAACTGGTAAAAATTGTTTGTTTTTTGTTGAAAGGCAAATTTTAAGCAATCATTGGAATTAAATCAAGAAAATTAACAATAATTATAAAGAAATAACAAAACAATAAACCTCTTTTTGTATTGCATTTAAAACGAATGCTTTAAAAAAACTTCATTTTACAGATAACATGAATTGTACTTTCATTTCTTACTTTTTTTAAAAAAATATTTTATCTTTGTGCTCCTCTTTTGTATACTTAATTAATGTTTCTTTTAATTTGTTGGTTAAACTAAGACTTTAAAAAAAAAAAATGCTTACAAACCAATGGAACTCCTTTTTGAGTCCCAATATTTTCTTAACATTTATTTATGAAATTTAACTTTTTTACTTTTTCTTTTTTTAATTAACTTAAATTATTATATTTTTTAAGCCAACAAGAATTTTTTTAAAATAAAACACAGTCCCTCCCCCATTTTTTTTTGTAAGTTAAGTGTCTAAAAAATGTCTTATTTATTTTGTTTTTATCTCAGTATTTGAGTTGCATTGCAAACACAAGAAAAGTAAAATAATTACATTTATATTTACATACATTGTCATATTTTTCTATATAATTTTTACTTTCTCTTTTTTATTATAAATTATCCCATTTTTACTCACAACATCAAATATTAATTAATAATAAAAGCAAATATATAATAAACTGTTAGTATTTAACTACAAAATAAACAAATATCTTTTAGTTTTATTCATTAAAGAGGAACTTAACCTGATAATTTTCGATCCAACGTTTTTCAAGCTATGGCCTTAAAGTGTTTGTTTACACTTACCTTTAAACTTTTCAGAAAAATCTCCACATTTCTTGTTTACTTTATAAGGAAAAGTTTTATTTTGTTTTTTTTCTGTTTTCTTTTTTTTTTTAGTTTTTCTTTAATAGGTAAATATCTGTATGCAGTTCATACAACACAAAGAGATTTGTTTTTATTTTCAATTATAACGCTACACAACAAAATTATTTTTCTGTTTTTTTTTGTAAATATTAAGATGGTATTTTTTTCTCTTTTTTTGGTTTGGTTAATGAAAATAGAACATATGCCATAAAAAGAAGTCATTAACATATACATAAATATTAAATATTTTCAAATTTCAATACAATAAATCTTATTTTTTATGCATTTTGTATAATTATGATCATTTTAGGCTTGATTTGATTTTAAAGTAGACCTTATAGAATTAAAATTAACTAAATATGTTTTATGTTTACTATTCAAAAGTAATATAATTGATTATCTGTTGTTAATTCGTAAATTTATATGGATGAAGATTTTTATGTGCAATTAAAAGAATTTTGAAATTTTACGCTATTTAATTTAATAGAATATTATTGACAGTTTCAGTTTCAGTCAAAATATTTGGGCGTTATCCTAGATAGAAAGTTATCTTGGAGTATGAATGTACTCTTAAGAACATCAAAAGCCATTACACCGAAATGCCGCTGATCATTGCATCCCGAAACCGTCTCTCTTTAGACAATTTCAATATCAAATCTCTACGGATTCTCAAGAATCCCTCTCCGTTAATTGTTTCCATGTGTTTATATATGGATCAAAGACAACAAAAGGAGTTCGGGTGGCATCTTAATTGAAGAATTTGGGACTTGAATCTCTTTACGACTTAATGATGCAGTACCAAGTAGGGTTCTATAGTTGAAACGAAAAGTCGACTTTTCGACTTTTTGCATTTAGTTAAAAGTCGACTTTTCGACCTTTCGACTTTTTCCATTTTATGAAAAGTCGATTTTTCGACCTTTTTCATTTATTTAAAAGTCGACTTTTAGACTTTTCGACTTTTAGTATTATATAAATGGTCGACTTTTCGACTTTTTCCGACTTTTCGACTTTTTCCGACTTTTCGACTTTTTCCGACTTTTTTCGACTTTTAGACTTTTCAACTTTTTCCGACTTTTTTCGACTTTTCGACTTTTTTCGACTTTTCGACTTTTTTCGACTCTTTCCGACTTTTTTCAACTTTTCGACTTTTTCCGGCTTTTCGACTTTTCGATTTTTTACGACTTTTTGACTATTTTCGACTTATTTCGACTTTTTTTCGACTATTTTTTACTTTTTTCGAGTTTTTCCGACTATTTTTGAGTTTTTGACCTATTTTCCACTTTTTTAAAATTTTCGACTTTTTTCGACTTTTCGACTTTTTCCGACTTTTCGACTTATCGACTTTTCGACTTTTTTCGACTTTTCGACTTTCCGACTTTTCGACTTTTTTCGACTTTTATTTACAAAGTCGATTTTTTCGACTTTTTTCATAGACGATAGTCGAGTTATCGACTTTTTTGGAACAAAATAGTCGACTTCGACTTTTCGACTTTTTTCGACAAAAAGTCGATTGTTCGATTATTCGAAAGTCGATTTATAGAACCCTAGTACCAAGTTGAAATGTCAACGAAATGTCAAGAGGGCGTCAAATTAAGATACTATCTGTTATCTAACAGATATATCAGAATTTATACTGATGGGTAAGCTGCTATTAAATCCCCCTTATTGGTGTGTTTTTCACCTTTGGACTTGTCCATGAATGGCGAACGTCTCACAATGAAACGACAGATCATAGAAATGCTTTGTTAAAACCTAACCAAATATAAATATTCTTCTGCGTTAGATAAGAGAGTAATATAATCAAGAAAATCTTTAAATTTCCAACTGAGCGATGGTTATGGCTTTCGAAGAAAACATGGAAGAAACATAACTTAAGGTATTGCGATCAGATCGAGAGTAACGGACATATAGTTCTATAAAGTATGAATTCCGCCTGTAGCCAGTTGGCCATAACTACTTTCAAAACTAGGTTAAGATATCCCTGAGTTTTGACTTTTTTGACATTTTGTGGGCCTGTTTAATTTAACTCTTTGTAATTTAAGCAAAAAATCGCTTTATTTGTCGATTATCTGCGAAATCTCATCGGACATCATAATAGCAATTTCTTGTGGAAAATATTGGATTACTTGAACACCAAATTAAGTAGAGGATCATAGGGTTACGATTAAGTTTGAGGCCTGAACTTGAACTGAACTAGAACTGAACTAGTACTGAACTAGAACTGAACTAGAACTGAACTAGAACTGAACTAGAACTGAACTAGAACTGAACTAGAACTGAACTAGAACTGAACTAGAACTGAACTAGAACTGAACTAGAACTGAACTAGAACTGAACTAGAACTGAACTAGAACTGAACTAGAACTGAACTAGAACTGAACTAGAACTGAACTAGAACTGAACTAGAACTGAACTAGAACTGAACTAGAACTGAACTAGAACTGAACTAGAACTGAACTAGAACTGAACTAGAACTGAACTAGAACTGAACTAGAACTGAACTAGAACTGAACTAGAACTGAACTAGAACTGAACTAGAACTGAACTAGAACTGAACTAGAACTGAACTAGAACTGAACTAGAACTGAACTAGAACTGAACTAGAACTGAACTGAACTAGAACTGAACTAGAACTGAACTAGAACTGAACTAGAACTGAACTAGAACTGAACTAGAACTGAACTAGAACTGAACTAGAACTGAACTAGAACTGAACTAGAACTGAACTAGAACTGAACTAGAACTGAACTAGAACTGAACTAGAACTGAACTAGAACTGAACTAGAACTGAACTAGAACTGAACTAGAACTAACTAGAACTGAACTAGAACTGAACTAGAACTGAACTAGAACTGAACTAGAACTGAACTAGAACTGAACTAGAACTGAACTAGAACTGAACTAGAACTGAACTAGAACTGAACTAGAACTGAACTAGAACTGAACTAGAACTGAACTAGAACTGACTAGAACTGAACTAGAACTGAACTAGAACTGAACTAGAAACTGAACTAGAACTGAACTAGAACTGAACTAGAACTGAACTAGAACTGAACTAGAACTGAACTAGAACTGAACTAGAACTGAACTAGAACTGAACTAGAACTGAACTAGAACTGAACTAGAACTGAACTAGAACTGAACTAGAACTGAACTAGAACTGAACTAGAACTGAACTAGAACTGAACTAGAACTGAACTAGAACTGAACTAGAACTGAACTAGAACTGAACTAGAACTGAACTAGAACTGAACTAGAACTGAACTAGAACTGAACTAGAACTGAACTAGAACTGAACTAGAACTGAACTAGAACTGAACTAGAACTGAATTAGAACTGAACTAGAACTGAACTAGAACTAAACTAGAACTGAACTAGAACTTAACTAGAACTGAACTAAATCAGATTTTGATTCGTTTGTCTGTCACAGCTTGGAACTAGATAAGATTCGTAACGGGACCAATCTTTTTGGATAACTGACTCTTTAACCTAACATAGTTTAAAATAGGTCTGACCATGGTTTAATATATAATATATTTATACCATGGTTCTGACTGCTTTAGATCAAATATGGGGTTTTTACCCTGGAAATTTTTATTAAGAATTCCTGAAATTTAAACTATCGAATATACTTCGTAAATAAAAAACAGTATAAAACAAATTTATGGAAATAAATGACCGGAATTCGAGAATTCATATCTCAGAGATATGAGCCGATAGAAATCCGTTCGATTAAATATTTAATATGGAGAAACAAGGTCTTTGAAACTAAAATATAAGTGAGTATTTAAAGTTTAATTGCACATTTTAAATAAAAATTTACGAATTATATAATTTTAAATAATTTTTAGGTTAATTTGTTCTTAAACAGTAATAAATATAATTATATATATTTTTTTTTTTTTTTAATTTATAATAACATTTGTTAATGGTAGATATTTATTTTTACTCTTGTGTGTTTGTAAAGAAACCTTATATTGAGTTTTCATTTGTTATTGCTTTTTTTAAGTCCTTGTTTAGATAAATTAGTTTTTCTTCAGTTAGAACTATAATTTTTAAAATTTAAACTATAATTTTCATATAATTTAATTATTTTATAGTTCTACTTTAAAATAAGAATTGTAGTAAGTTTTTTAGAAAATTTACTTTGTTTTTGGAAAATATTACCTGTATTTTTTTAAAAATGTTTATTTGTTAATATCAAAAAGGTGGGGAGGAGTTATAGTTTTGAAAATAGTTTGGAAAAATTAAAGTTTATTTAATGAAGATTTAAAGAGTTTTATAAAAAAGTAGAAAGAAAATAGGATAGTATATATTTGAGGATTTATTTATTTACTATTTATATAATGTTCAGCAATTATTTGTTATATTTCTTTTGTTGTCTTTAATTTTTAAAAATAGCTTATTACACTTAAAGAAAAAAA